ACACCATTTGTTAAAAAGGCTGTCGTTCCCCCACTTCACTGATTTCATCTCCTTGTCAAAGATCAGTTGACCATAGATAGATATCAGTCCAATTTTATACTTCCACTTATAAACTAGTGATAGAATCTGTACTTCTAGTTATTATATTTTGATATATCTGAATCATATAGGGTGTCATGTGCTTCCAAGGAGGAAAATGGGCAATCCTTTCCTGTGAAATTTACAGCTTCTGAAATCCTCCTGGAGTATCAGCTAGAAGTTGATTCTGACTCAACAACAATGAGTGAGTGAGTGAGTGTGTGCGAATTGCACTTCCAACTCAGATGAATGGGATTCAAATACACCAATCAGCTGCTCTGCAGAAGAAAGATGTGCAATCTCCTCTAGTGTCATTTGCTGCCTCTGAAAACCAGATGGAGAGTCAGCCATGGGTTGGTTCCATCTCAATAATACACAGCAACAACAAGGACACTAGTACCAGTGACCTCGAGACTGTCTCTTTTGTAAACATAGATTTCATCTTCGGATTCCTATAGAAAGATCTTAGATATAGGTGGGAGAGCAACAAGGGCCCTAGGTGGCACAAGAAGTTGGTTCTTGACAACTCAGCGTTGGCAGTTCAAAGCCACTCAGCGGAACAGCAGAAGAAAGGCCTAGTGCTCTGCTTTCATGAAAAACTACACCCAAGAAAGCCCTACACTAATATATGTGAGAATATCACAGATCTGAAGCTACTCAATGACAATAGATTTGAGTGCATTTGATAGAAAAATCAGTCAGAATTATTATAGACTTTACCTTGTACATTTTAATATTGTGACTTCCAAAAATCTTAAGTATATGTCATTTAAAAAAACAACTGTGGGCAATGATGTATGGTAACAATAACTAGGAATGTGCTTCATGGCTGTGTTTATACTATACATATAAGTTCATTCAGTCCATGCAATAACCCAATAAGATAGGTATAGTTAGAAACCCCATTTTGCAGCTGAGAAAACTGAGGCATAGATTCATCACAGTGCTTATGCTCCCGTAGAACCAAGAGCTAAATTTAAACAATCCATCCACTTGAACCAGACTCCTATTGACTTTACTTAAGAACAATGAGTCAGAAATATTGGTACTGATTTAGAGTTAGGATTCTTTTCTCTCTCTTTTATTTTTTTTTAAGATGATAGGGTATGTCTTTGATTTGGGGTGTGGTGCTTTGGGTGTTTGGGTTTTTTTTTTCTAAAGAAGTTAAAAATCTACCCTCTTTCTTTTCTTTCTGACAATCTTTTTCTAAAGCCATTTGACGTCATCTGGGGCCAGAAAAAAACACAATTCCCAAGACAGAGCACTAATGAGCTTCCCCTTTTTTTTCCTCTCTCCCTGTCTCTCCATACTGCAGTTAATAGCCAAGATACCAACCATCACGGCAGTTTGCAACTTGCACGGGGAGAAGCTGCAGGTATTTAAGCAATCACATCCAGACATAGTGAATACACTGTTTCCTCCATTGTACAAGGAGCTCTTTAATCCTGACTGTGCCACCGTCTGCAAATGAAGGGCACCGGAGAACTGTCTCCCACTCATACAGTGCATCACCTTTAAGACAAAAGCAATGTGTTCATGGAGACTCGCGAAAATGTCACTACTGCAACATTAGGAAATGTTCTGCACTTAATAGAATTCTTTTTTCACCGCTACAGTTTGAAGAATGTAAATATGCACCTGAGTGGAGCTCTTCTTTGTTTGTTTTTGAAATGACCATAAATATACAAATATAGGACACTGGGTGTTATCTTTTTTTTTATTTTATTTGGGAATGTTTTGGGAGACAACTGTTTATAGAATTTTATTGTAGATATATACGAGAACAGAGCGGTACTTTACATGATCACGTTTCCTGTTGATTGTTCAAATATAATTTAAGAAAATTCCACTTAATAGACTTAAACCTATTTCTATGCTTTTAGATAGTTGATGCATGTGTAAATTTGTAGCTGTCTTGGGAAGTATTGTGCATGTATGTAATAAGTATATAATATGTGAGAATATTATATATGACAATTACATATTCATGCACATGCACTGTGGCTTAAAATACCACACATACTAGCAAAGGAGGTTTAGTCAGTCTCTCTTCTATTATTTGCCTTCTGTGTCCTCTGTTACCTTTATGTTAGACAATCAAGATTTTGTTTTCCCAGCCAGTGTGTTCATCTACAGTCAACAACAGGGCGGTACCATAAGAAACAATTCTGCAAACCAGTAAATAGACGGCATGGCCTCTGTGTCAAAAACACCTATTTCTATCAGTGACATCAAAGCCTTGTCAAAATGGTACATACTGGGGGGAGAGAAATAAGAATAACTCTTTGGAGCCATTTTCCTGTTTTCAGAAAATATTATACCAATTATATTATGGGGATCCATGGCTTATTTTTTCATCAAACAATAGACATTTCCTGGTTTTCACCAAGACAGAAAACATTTTTTTCTCTTTCCCTCCACCTTTTGCAGTCATGAAAGAAACTTGATTTTTTTTTCTTGTGCTTATTATGTCTTCAGCATAGGAATGAATAGTCTGTTGGTTCTGACCACCAGCAATGTTTGTTTAAAATTAGACTTTAAAAAGACATCAAAATCAAGAGACTTAACATCATCTCATATAAATACTTTCTCTATAACTAAATTCTTATGTGAAAAGGTAAAAAAAAATACTACAGAAGGAAGAAAAGCATTTCTTTAGATTTATTGGTTTTCATAAATTTGTTAGAAACAGAAGCAGTAAAGAGGGAAGAGAAATTTTATATATACTGAGGGCTCAAATTCGTTGTTGGGTTTTTTTGGTTTTTTTAGCTCCCAAATCCTGTATTATAAAAGTATACCAAACCCTTGACAGATTAGCGAAAAGATTTGAATGATCCTGTGGAACTCAAATACCCCAGAGCCAAAACTCCTTTCCCTGCATTTTGAAATTACATCAACCATCTAGCCTGGGATTAATTTTTGAGCAAATCTGAAAAATACAGACAGTAGTGAGAGTGAGCAAGATCAGAGGATTTAGACTTCTTCATGAGAAGTTCTCACTTTGTCAGCTCGCCAATCAAATTCACCTTCAGAAAAGCATCAGCCCCAAAAAGTTCATTCTGCTTGGGTCCTAGTGGCTTCATGCCTTTTGATCTTCATCTGATAAAAATAAAATAAGAAGACAGTGGAAGGCTTCGCCCACCAAGCAATTAAAACACAAAAACACTACTTTGTCTTCTACAAGAATGATAGCCCAGGCTATCCACTTATAACGAAACTATCCTCTGCTTGTTAAACACAACATGCACACGTGCACGCATATACCAACTCTGAGGTTTCCGACAAAGGACATGTATATGTATATTCATCTCTATACTTTCCTAAAGTTGTATGGTTGAGAATCATCTTCGGGATGACTGAGAGCTCGTCCATGATCACAATCATGCTGTTAGTCTTTTCCATTTAAAAGAACACAGAGCCTTTTCCCGCTTCATGATTGATGAATTCCAAATCAATGGGGGGAAACAAAAAGTCTTTAAAATAATGAATCTCTTTCTCAACTACTGTTATATTCAATTAATTTAACTACACTGAACCAAATTGCCTTCAGTGTCTAAGAAGACAGCTGTAGACTGCTTATTATGCTCCTACAGGGACAGAATTCTTTTTGGTGTAAATGTCACTCCTGCTAGCTCTTTGTATAAAGAATTAATTCCAAGAGTCATATTTCCTTCTAATGGAAAGATTACTTTACTGATTGCTAGGAAAACAGGGTAATGGAAGGCACTCAATTAAACCAAGCCGTTTCCAAAATGTGATGTATGTTTTATGATTGGCTTGTGATAGGCAATGCTTAATGTGTCTACTTGGTGTTTCCCTTTGAGCTTTGAACTTATGTCAAACTTCGTTTTCATTGTTTTGCTGGCCTAGTGTTTCCCATTGTCAGCCTGTAATTCCTGCTCCGTTGCAGAGGGAATCTTTTGGTTCCTGTCATTTACCTTAGAGGATTTAAATTGTCTCAATTTATGAAGTGGCTGAGAAATTTTTTTCCTTCCTTGTCCCATGGGCGATGTAGGAAAAAGATTGTTCCCCATTTGCCTCGGGAGGTACTGCCTTTGAATCTGTGTCATTTCCCCTTGTGCCAGCATTTCACTGGGAAAACGTGGATCTTTTGACACTCGATGAGAGGAAGCAGAGGTAGAGGCTGAACCAGAACAAGACAATGGGAACCCATACATGGTCTGCCCACTTCAGTCAAGAGAAGAGATTTCCATCTGGGGCCACCGTTGCTAAATCTGTCCTGTAAAAGAGAACTAAGTCATATTTTCAGTGGTAACAGAAGCCTTATGAAAAGCTGTCCCGTGGACTTCTCCTGTGATTCACTTCCTCTTGAGGTGTCCTGAAACCTGGTGAGAATAGCTTCCCTCACCACCTCCAAGGCACGTTGCACCTTCACAGTGAAGACGGATAGATGCTCCTGATACACCCTTGGTGAGGTGGGCCCTGGAAGAAGAGAATCCATGCTCCGTACTTTTCACGTCCTGCTTTGTAACTGACAATCACTGCTTGATGCAGATGTTGCACTGTCTCCACTCAGGGATGTTTCATTGGAAAAAAAAATAACAAAGACATCAAGAGAAGGGGGGAGGGAACAAAACAGGATAATGACAACAAAATACAAATGGCATAAATGAATATGCTGAACTGGAGAACCTCTCCATCAGGGCTGTCACAGACCAACAAGCAGTAACTTTGTGATTGTGAAGTGACTTGACTTTTACTATTTGGACTTGCTGAAAAGTTGCACAGTTTACTGGGAAAGGGCAATTTCACTTCATTTTCTAAAATCTGCTAAGGGCCAAATAATCCTGTTAGTCCGTTTATAACTATGTTTTCTCTCCTAGCAAAGCCAAGCGTGATATTTAGGTCCTGAACAAGGAAAATGCAGGAACCTGACATGAGATGAACAAGACAAGGGAAGTGAAGCTGTGTAAATTCAATTCCACGCTATCTGTGTGTCTGTGATAGGAAAGGCGAATGGAAAATAAGGGACCTTAAATCTAATTTGAGATTCCATTCATAACCCTACTGTCTGTGTGTTGGGTCATCTTCCTCTACCCTTTTTCTAAGACTCAAAGTTGAAGATGAAAGTGTGTTTTTCTAAACATACCGTTTCTGTTGGTATTGTTCTAATTCCATTTTAAGGGTCCTAGATGGAATAAAAGCAAAATATGATGGGTGCTTTGGTAATTAGGTCTCCTTGACAGAATCCAAGAGAACCTCAGTGATATAATGAAGTGATTCATGAGAAGTCAAAGGGAGGTATCAGTGTATTTCCTATCAGAGTTGCCTTGTTCAGCACATAACTATACAAACAGCCGAGATACTACACAGTTGAGAATCAGCTCACTCTCATCCTCTACCACCCTCTGGCTCCAAGCTTGAGTACAAATGCAAGTCTGTGTTCCAGGGACAGTCTAAAATTTACAAGCTTCCCCCCCCCAAAAAAAAACCCACCTTGGTCAGGTGCAAACTATGTTAGTATTGCCCCATGTCATTTCTTTCATTTGTTATAGAAATAAGAAAAATTCTACTGCTTCTAGAAATTGGAAGGCATGTTCTTTGTGTGCATTCCTTTCCTCTGTAATCTGTTTTGCTTCCGATGGAGTTACTACTGTTGACAGTAAATTCAGGCGAGGATGCTGGTGCCCTGACAGAGATCTCACGCCATTCAGTAGGACAACAACTCCAGCGCGTGCATTGGCACTGAGACTGTGCACACAGAGAGGAGACATCTGCCTCTTCTTTGGAGCAAGTGTGACTTTATCCACTTGCTGGAACTGGCAGCAGCGAGTACTAAAACCAGAAGTGGGAAACCATGTGTAATCTTTTGGATGTCAAGACCAAAGGCCGCACATTTATTTAAATCACAGGTTCAAAGTTCAAAGGATGAAAAGAATGAAGAAATCAAAGCAAGTTGGCTCCGGGGCACAATGGGAGAGGGGATCGTCCCAACCGAAAAGGATCTCTTCTCCACAACTAAGGCTGAGTGTTGCTGTGGTTTCTGAGTAGTATTTAAGCACTAAGTTGTAAATGCTGGTGGGTGCAGGTCGAACAAACGCACTAGTACATAGAAGAAAATCCACGGTTCTCAAGCCTGCCGTGGAGGGAAATCACATGGAGCCCATCTGAGCAGACCCACCCCTGTATGAGAGTCTGGAATTAGAGTGTAAATGCCCTAAAGGTACTCAGGAGACCTCGTGGCACAAGAGTTAAGCACTTGGCTAATGGAAATGTTGGCTCGATGAGAGAAAAGAAGTAAGTGGCAATCTTCTCACATAATGATTCCAGCCTTGAAAACAGTCTTGGACAGTTTTATTATGTCACATGAAATCATCATGAGTCCAAAATCTGTGTCACCAAATGAGAACACGACAACTAGAGGCTACAGTAGGGGTAAGTGAAGTAAAATAGCAAGCAACCTTAAAAATGAACACAGCTCCATTGACTAATGGCTAAGAAAAGACATTTGTATTAATCTTGCATAGTCTCCCAGCTTCGTAAAGCCAGGTAGCAGGATTTTCTTTTTTTTTTTTTTTGCTTACCTACGTTTCTTCTGGAAGTAAAATACATGGCTCGTACATTTTTGAGTCTACATATATTTGTTTAAATGTGGGGTTTCAGTCTCTGAAACCTTTGTTGTTTCTAAAGGCATTATTCCAGAATCGTGACCTGTGGCCTCCATCATTCTAAAATACAGCCCACAGATTCCTGTGCAGCAGATGGCATTGTCTCTGGGTTGTTTTGGAGTTTGTTTGGGGTTTTGTTGGGTTTTGGGTTTTTTTTTTTCCCTTCTTCTGCTTCTTTTTTCTAAGCTGCTGACATTCCTCCAAAGTGGATTGGCCACAATTACCTTTGCTTCCTGCATGACTGCAGCACGATCTTCAGTGGCTCAGAGAAAGCAGTTCAGCGATTGTTTCTCATGGCCAAAAGCAAGCACAAGGGTGTTGAGCATTCCCAGTTCTGCACAGCGAGCACAGGGGTCCGCACCACAGCTGGGCAGCACGATCCACATGATAAACTGTCCTCTGCTGGCTGACGCTGGTGGAAAGCACAAGTCACAACCACATGCAGACACATTCTGTATCTGAGACGCTACAAATCTCACCTCCAAGCACAGTACCGTCTGCCTCGTCAGATTAACAGACACACACAGCAAACTGCGTATGTATTGTAGAAATGTAGAGGAAAAATTTAAAAAAATATTTTTTCAAATGTAATTACTTTTAATATATGCTTGTGGAAGGTCTAATACAATGTATGCTGTCTCTGTAATTTTTGCTGTAAATAACTGGAGACAGCGAATACACTGATTTTTCTATGTCTCTGTTTAAGCATAAGACTTTGTAACAATTTTTTAGAGGGGGAAAAATACCAACAAAGAGCAAATATGTACTTGCTTCCTTTCTGAGTGTTATGTAATTCTCGATTTTTTAAATGGAAACTGGTTGTAACAGTTTAAGCATCTTGACGGGTCATTGGTGTTAAGTGTGCACTTCTTTTTATAATACAGCTGAGAAAGGGACAGGGCTGTCATGGAAATCTGCTCCAAAGAATTGGTATTAAAGTTTGGTCCAAGACCCAGAACCTTGTCTCAACTAGACAATAGAAAAAGGAGAGTTTATTTTAAACAATGTTGCCTGAGTAAGTCCTCTTTCCTCATAGCAAAATGGCTTTGCCCACAACCTTTCTGCATGGAATAGCTTAAGGAACACAAACTCT